ATCACTTTCAGAAGGAAGGTCAGTGTGTCCTTCTAAGGGACTTCAATGCGGATGTGTGATGCCTTTTGTCGTGCAATTGACTTCAATGCTTATCACATTTATTCTGTGGTATGCTTTTAGAAAATGTGATCTCATCTCTTTTTCTTTCAAAGAAAAAAGTTCCAGTAGACTAAAAATATATGGAGTGTTTTGTCAATGGTCTGTACTTCAGAAAATGGTTGGTTTTATCATTTGCCTTGAAAAATGTGCCACAATGACTGTATCTTAAATTACGAGATAAACAGGCTTCCCTGGTTCCCGCCACACCTCCTCCAGTATTTGTTATGCTCCATGTGAAAATCGTGTTTGTGTTTTGAAATACCCCTTATAGGCTGGACATGGTGGTTCATGCTTATAATCTCAGCACTTTGGGAGGCCAAGATGGGAGGAATGCTTGAGCCTAGGAGTTTGAGACCATCCTGGACGACACAGCAAGACTTCATCTCTACAGAAAATTAAAAATTAGCAAGTTTCGGTGGGTGCATTTGTGGTCCTAGCTACTTGGGAGGCTGAGGAGGGAGGATTGCAGTGAGCTGTAATCATGCTACTGTACGCCAGTCTGGGAGACAGAGCAAGACCTCGACATACACACACACACACACACACACACACACACACACACACACACACACACACACACACAACATCCCTTATCATTTCTGGCACCTTGGCATCTCAAAATGTAGGATTATTCTCTAAATCTGCCTTCTCCAGTATTGGTTATGTGAACCCTAAAATATATGCATGCCTTTGCCCCTTCCTTCTTTCTCCAGCCCTTTCTTTGCTCGCTTGTTGCCTAGCTTTTTGCGCTGTTGCCTGGTTGCAAAGTCAGCAAAGTGTCTCAATTAGGTCAGGCCTTGCCGAGTCCTCAGAGCTGTGTGCTGTCTATGCTTCCTACCCTCATCCTCCCCACCCCTACTAAACAACCCCGTCATGGTCTTGCTCCTGAAAAAACTTGGATAGTTCATTGGAAGGATAAATAAGCCGATGCACACTCCTGTGGCAATGACTCTGTGACCCTTTCCAGGGGATTTATTTCACTGATAACTTGTACCTTAAACCAAAAAGAGTTGGTTTCTCATAGTGGAATTCCAGGCCTAGTGGTAGATTTCTGGGAAGGGATCTTGTAAATGGCAGGGACTTTCTGGTCTTCCTCCAGTTTGGCCACAAGACTGGCTTGCACTTTTCTTGCTGGCTAGTTGGTGTTCTGGTTGCTATGGTTATGTCCTGTGGGTGCCGCTCTTCTGCACCTGATTCCCCTTTTCAGGTGGGGACACTGGCAGTCATCCTTCCTGGTTGTGTGACCAGTGCTGGGCGGGAAGTAAAAAAAGTTGCTTTCTGGTAAGGGCATCTCAATCACCTAACAAGCCATATGTGTGCAGTTTATCTGTGGACACTCACTAACATTTAAAAAAGAAATTTTGTGAAGCAGAATCTTCTCACCCACTTTAGTATTGGCAGATAAATTATGCAGCAGAAGGTGGCATGGATGCCAACACTTGTGCCTTTTGTGTGTCGTACAATTTTTTTTTTGGTCTGGGCTACATGAACAAAAGTCCAGTGGGAAGACAGTAGGGCACCTCCAAGAATTGTTAATAGTTCAGTGCATGCAGCGTGTGAACTATGAGATGGGAAAGACTGGAAGGCAAAACCGGGGCCATAAGAAAACATAGATGTGCAGGAGGCCCCTCTGCTCTCAGAGGTGAAAAAACCTCGAATGTTGCTCAAGAAATACAGCTTTCTCTTCCCTTTTCTTTTCCACTGTGCTAGAAAGTGTCTGTTTTATCCCTTCCTGCAGGTCTCATGCACTATATTCATTTGTTAATTCATTTAAGCAAATACTTGGTAGTAGGGTAAATATAAAGGCCAAAAATTGTGTGTGTTTGTGTATCCCCTGCTTTGAAAAAACTTACAGTTTTAAAAACTGAATTCAAAATACTTTAAACCCCCTGATATTTGTGGATGTACTGTAGGTGGTTTTAGTTATTTGCCAGTGATGGGAGAGATCCTTCCACAAGTGGATGATTTTACTAAAGCAGGAATTGTGACTGAATGGACTGTCCCATAGGACCAAATATGGCCTGTGCTTTCACTTTAAAGCTGTCCTTTAGGACAGGCATCCCCAACCCTGACCACAGACTAGGGCCATAAAGCAGGAGGTGAGTGGCAGGCCAGGGAAGCTTCATCTGTATTTACAGTCACTCCACTCCCCTCATCCGCATTGCTGCCTGAGCTCCACCTTCTGTCAGATCAGCAGCAGCATTCAATTCTCATAGGAGCGCAAACCCTGTTGTGAACTGCACATGCAAGGGATCTAGGTTGTGTATTCCTTATGAGAATCTAATGCCTGATGATCTGAGGTGGAGCTGAGGCAGTGGTGCTAGCACTGGGGAGTGGCTGCAAATACAGATTAACATTAGTGGTGAGGTTTGACTGCACATCCTCCCCATCACCCTCTGTCCATAAAAAGATTGTCTTCCACAAAACCAGTCCCTGATGACAAAAAGGTGGGAGACAGCTGGTTTAGGACTGTCCCTTGTCTGGTGGGTAAATTTAGCACCCTGCCCACTCTCCACACTCAAAGCAACTTTGCCATTTTTGTTTATTTACACCAAGTTTCTTATAAATCGCTTTTCAGAAACATGTTTATTGGCAAAAATAAAAAGCAAAATAATTAAAAGTTTAAAAAATCTAAGTACAATATCATTTTTATTGGAAGATGAAAGTATCTGAGGACATGCACAGACAGCAAATGAGTTAGGAAGCAGCCAGGAGCCTCTGTGTATTCTACCCCATTAAGAGTTTAGACCAGGCTGGGCTCGGTAGCTCAGCTTGTAATCCTAGCACTTTGGGAGACCAAGATGAGAAGGTTGCCTGAGCCCATGAGTTCGAGACCAACCTGGGCAACTTGGCAAGACCTCATCTCTACAATAAATCAAGAAAAATTAGCCGGGTGTGATGGTACGTGCCTGTAGTTCCAGCTACTTTAAAGGCTGAGGTGGAAGGATCACCTGAGTCCAGCAGGCTGAGGCTACAGTGGCTGTGAGCATGCCACTGCACTCCAGCCTGGGCAACAGAGTGAGACTCCAACTCAAGGAGAAAAAAAAAAGTTTAGACCTTTGTGACCAGGTGTGGTGGCTCATGCCTGTAATCCCAGCACTTTGGGAGACCCAGGTAGAAGGATTGTTTGAGCCCAAGAGTTCAACACCAGCCTGCGCAACATAGTGAGACCTCATCTCTTTAAAAAAAAAAAAAAGAAATCACAAAAATTAGCCAGACATGGTGACATGTGCCTGTAGTCCCAGCTACTCAGGAGTCTGTGACAGGAGGACCACTTGAGCCCAGAAGTTCAAGGCTGCAGTTAAGCTATGATTGCACCCCTACACTCCAGCCTGGAAGACAGAGTGAGACCTTGTCTATAACAAAAAAAAAAAGAAGAAGAAAGAAAATAGGAGAGTTTAGATCTTTGTGTCTTTCACAAGAATATCAAATCTACAGTATAAGAAGACTCCTTGCCCCCCCCCAACAGCTACAATTCAATGTAGAAGAGACTTAAAAAAATAATTAACTAAAAGACCATGTGATGCTCTAAGTATAATATACCACTGTTTCTTGGAAAGGGCAGTGGGCTAGAGCAGTTGTAGCAGACTGTATGGGGACTTGTAAGATTTCAGCAGATTCTTAACTGAGCAGAAAAGAGAGCCCAGCCTGGACAATGGTACGGGTGACACACAGAAATCACTTGGGAGGCAAGAGAGGCCACTGTGGTGGTCAGGATGGAAGATTAAGACACAGTCTCCACAGCCCAAGGAGAGCTCTTCCTCTCAAACTGCCTTCTCAGCATCCTCAGTTTAGTGATTTCCATCAAAATGGTGAATTTTGTGGGGGAGACATCCCTCTAAGAAGTTGTCTTCTGAACTGACTGATAAATTTCCATCAAAATGACTTATTTAAGTAGCCCTCTATAGGTTCAGCCTTATGTGAGAGGAAATTGGCATAAAAACAAATTGTCCTATTATGTTGTTAGTTTCGAATCACGTAATAGGTATGATAGAAATAGCTATATTAAACACAATCTGCTAATGGTATTTTCCATAACCACAAATGAATGCTTTAAATGGAACTTCTATTTAAAGGATTTTAATCCTTTGACATAGTTTAGTTTTAGGTGTCTATACATGGCCATAATCCATATTTTGAATTTTAGTTTCATGGTGCAATGGGATCAGTTTTCAATAGCATTTTTGTACTTCTAGAAACCGTCATCTAAAGAACTCAATTATCTTGTTCAAATATAAACCTTCTGAATCTTTATATAAAAATAGATATAGCATTTTAAGAAGGACAAGTGGCCTTAAAGAAATGGAAAACCCAAAATAACTGGAAGGTTTTACTTACTAAAGTGTTGTGGGAATATTAGATCATTCGGTGTTGACTACTTTGCATTTATGAATATAAAATCACAGAACTTAACCATTTTCCAAAGAAATGCCTACACGTTTTGATTTTAGATATTTGTCTTCAGATATATTTTTTTAATGCATTTAAAATTTTCCAACTTAAATATATTCTTGTTTCACTTTGCTTACTTAAAACTCTGATGAGTGTCTTGTTAACAGAAACTGATTATCCAAATTGCTTTCAACTGGGTTGGATTCACAGCTCTTTCTTCCATCCCCAAGGTTCATTTTAAAACTTACGCTAAACTTCATTTTGAATGTATGTTACTTTGAAACAAGCTCATAATTCAGGAAGTGAACTTGAAAATATCAGTGCTCCAAAGATCTCGCTATTTTCTGGCCTTTAATGAGAACGGTGGCCAGAGGCAGGAAGGTAGAGCCCTGCAGCTTCAGGCGAGTGTGGGTTGTATTTGATGTTCACAAAAGAATGGAAGTCGTAGGGTGTTGCTCAGTGAAGTGTGCATTTTCAAGTTACCCACAGTGGTGTCTATTGTCCTGTTTCTCAATTGAATGATGTCATGTTTCATTTAAGGCTCTTAGTGATGCTGAAGTCTGTGGTCTGCACACTAGGGGGAAAAAGGCAGTGAGAAAGTTGCAAATCAGGTTTTTGTAAAGCCTTTGTGTGTAGGGTTTGGGAGATAAAAGCTGACTCATGCAATATTTCCACGGAAGGCGCTGCACAGACTAGTCAAGGCTGCTCCTGTTACCTGACTGAGGTCACTGCATCAGCTGAAGGCAGACGATATGCTTGAGCCCTAGGGGAGCCCAGGTAGGCGCTCGTGTGAGTGTCCCCAAAGAACTGATGTCGGGATAAGCTTGCTGCTTCCCTCTCGAGCTGCTGGAGAGGTCCACCGAGGGGAGAAACGGTCGCAGGGGGCTTTCTTCACAACTCTGCAACGACGGAAGCTTGGCCGGGTACAGTCCAACTCTGAAGAGTTATCCGACGATGGAATTCGTCTAGAAGGTTTTTTTCCCCCTCTCTATCTGTGCTGCAGGCTGTCTCAAATGGTTTTTGTCTTAGTTTGGTTTGGTTTTGATCATTCCTTAAAGTTAGGCTGAAATATCTAGAGAGCTGATGTTTGCGACTCTGGGGAGTGATCTAAAACTCTAAGTTGTGCATAGAGAAAGCTTAACATTTGAATATGCTTTGTTTTTGAGGTTCATGCAGGGTAAGCTGGAGGAACAAAATAAATGTTTGCAAATGTATGCTTAGCAACTGAAGTGATGAGATTTAGTCTGAGTCTAGTGGCAACCAGAGTTGACTGAGTAAATGCAGTTTCCTTTTTGAGTGTTTATGGGTAAGAAATACTTTTGTTAGGAGCAATGATTAGGGGAAGGAGGTGTGGATTGTATTCAGTGCTGTTGTCCATTGGGATCGGATTTTATTTTGTTTGATTATTTGAATGTAGTGACAATAACATTCCTTAACCTCATGTCAAATATAAAAATGACTTTAATTAAAAATACTTAAATATTGTATAAAAATAGATGATGTGATTTTAATTTCCTTAAATAATTTTTTCCAATGATAAAAGTCATACAGTTATTGAAGAAAAGATATATTCACAGATAAATATCAGGGAAAAAAAATTCTACATGGTATAGCCAGTGTTGATATTTTATCATCTATTTAAATCTGTTCTATAAGTTAGTGACATTTTAAATTCAAAATTAGAATCACATTATATATGTGATTTTTAAGCCACCTGTTTTACTCAACTGTATTTTATGAGCATTCTCTGCACTCTTAAAGATTTGGAGGGACGTGGCATTTAATCGCTTACATTGTACTTTCTAGATGGATTTATTTATTCATATCTCTGTTGTTAGACACCCATTTCACTTCCTCCTTTTTGTTCTTTAAGAAAATGTTTAATGTACTTCATGGATGGTTTTATTTGCTCAGAGTGCTATTGTTAGTCACTTGGAATTCTCCTCTCCTTCCTCCTCCTCCTTTTTCTTTAAGAAAAATGTTATTTCTCTTAATGCCTCCCTCCCAGCTGTGCTGGGATGTTTTGGAACTGAGTGTGTTCCATGCAGATGGAGCCTGTGTATATAACCATCATTGTTTGGTTACTGCCTGGAGACTGATATTTTTATACTAACAGGAAGGTGCTGTTCAAAGCAAAGCTGGAACAGAGATTATTACCTAATCTATATTAAAAATAGAGGTTTTTTAGCCATTGGCAAACTCAATGATATGCAGTATTTCATTATTTAAGATTCGTAGGATGTGGGAGAAAATGGTTATTAACGGAGTTACTGCTTGTACTGGGCCTCCGGTTGGGACTGGGCAGTGTGGTTGTGGCAGCCAGTGGTTTGCTGGTTATTTCAGGGTTGGAGTCACGTCCTGAAGGTTGAATTGGACCTGGGGAAGTCACCTAGTCCAGCCGCCGCATTTACGCACAAGGAAACCAAAGATCCAGAGATCAATATAACCCTGATGGTGCAGAGCCAGGGTTTGCACATACTCTGAGCTGAAGCGAGTGTTGGGCCGTAATTCACTTTCTGACTGGTTCTCTGAATTCTTTCTATATACACAGCTTGGGATATAGTTATTTCTGCACATACACTCTGTAGGCCTTTCTGGCACATGGTACCCTGGGCTTTAGGCAAGAAACTTACATTGAGTCCTTCATTTCCTGATCTCTAAGCTCCTTTGCTGCTGTACTGTTTTACTACTCTGTATCCAAGTACTCGGAATCATTGACTAGAAATCAGAAAACATAGTCTCTAATTCACAGTTTTTTGGTTTTGGTTTTGGTTTTTGAGAGACAGGATCTTGCTCGGCCCCCCAGGCTAAAGTGCAGTGGCATGATTGCGACTCACCACATCATCAAACTCCTGGGGTCAAACAATCCTCCCGCCTCAGTCTCCTGAGTAGCTGGGACTACAGGCATGGACCACCACACCCAGTTAATGTTTCTGTTTTTTGTAGAGATGAGGTTGCCCAGACTGGTTTCAAACTCCTGGCCTCAAGTGATCGTCCCATCTCAGCCTCCCAAAATGCTAGAATTACAGATTCTAAGCACAGTGTTACTTAACCTCTCTGTTTTATTTGTTTTGTTTGGGGTTTTTTTCCATCTATAACATTTTTAAAAAGTAATGAGACACATGAAAGAACATTAAGGTTGAGTTTTTGTTGTTGTTGTTTTTATTTATTTTTTATTTTAAAGATGTAGGGTACAACTCAGGATTAGGTATACAAGTGGTCATCATACAGGCCTCCCTTTGGTTCCCACTTTGCCTGGTTTGAAATCAGGTACCCTTATTGATATTATGTTCCCTCTCCTTCCCCTACCCCTACCCTGGAAGTATCCCACTACTGCCAATCCCTCTCTGATGGTATTGTGGTAAATGTTATGAGTGAACATATGGTACTCTGTTCTTTGTTTCTGTGACAGATCACTGAATATGATAGAGGTTGGGGGTTTTTTAAGGATAATTTTGAGGTAGAAGTTGTGTTATAGTAAGTCAATCTGTATAGTAAGCCAGTCTGTTATAGTAGAGACCATTTGGGATATCTCTTGCTGCATAGCAAATCATCCCAAAACTTCATGGCTTGAAACAACAACAGACATTTATAATTACTCAAGGTTTCTGTTAGGCAGAATCCAGGAAAGGTTGTGTTAGGTGTGTCTGGCTTGGGGACTGTGGTGAAGTTATAGACAGACATGACATGGCCGAGGTCATCTGGAAGGCTTCTCATTCCCATGTCTGGTGCCTGGGCCGAAAACACTCAAACAGCCGGAGTTCCTTGAGCAACCCTGGACATGTCACTGTAGTCCCACCTCGTGGTTCCTCTGGCATGGCAGATTCAGGATAACCAGACTTTTGAACATAGTGGCTCAGGCACGTCCAGTGCCAGTGATTACATCGGTTTGTCTGTCTTTGTGCTCTGGCATACTCTAGAGCACTGGTGCCTTGTGCTGATGCAAGGTTTCTGCCACATCTGGGTTCCAATGCAAAGGGGAAAGAATATGATAGAATGATGTCTAATGTCTTGAGAAATGAACTCCCAAGGGGGCGTATATCATTTCCATTGGTGAGAACTTGACCATGTGGCCATAGCTAATGGCAAAGGAGGCTGGGAAATGTGCTCAGTTAGAACCATTCACCAAGGAAAAGAGGAGTGGATTTTGGTGGACAGCTGACAATCCCTTCTGTAAGTGCTAACACAATAGATGATGGTTTGAGGCAGGCGTGTCCAATCTGCGGACTGTAGGCCACAGGCAACCCAGTACAGCTAGAAATGCGGCCCCACAAAATCTTTTATATGTTTTTTAGCATTTATTTTCTTCATGATCCCATGTGTAGTTCCATTTTTGAAGTTCACAATCACTCCTTAGTCATGACATCACTTTTTGGCAGCACATGCACTTGCAAACTGCTGTTTTCAATTATGAAGCACACGACGAACAAAATTTGAACAAACATTTCTGACAAGCATCTTGAGAACTCGCTAAGAATTATAACCACTTCCATCGAACCAGACATTAATAGATTAGTTTTACAAAAACAAGGTCAAATTTCCCCCTAGTTTTATATTGTTCTCATTTTTCTGGACTTTAAAGTAAAAAATATTAACAAATAAAAGAAGTCCTATTATGTATATACACAAACTATATTATATAATTTATGTGCAGCCCAAGACAGTGTTCCCCTTTACTAGATGCAGCCCAGGAAAGCCAAAAGTTTGAACCCCCCTGATTTAGGGTATCCCCATAATCTCCTTTATCTACCACACTAAGTTACCACAAAAAAAATTTCACTAAAAGTGAAAACGTCTGCATTCGTACTCAAAGGCTTCAGGGAATGCCTTTAGTTTTCCTTTAACCAGACTGACTTGAAATCACCACTTAGCTAAAGCAATCTATCTAATACATGAGCATCATTAACTTAATCTCTGCTCAGCTGAGTAGCCATTATATCTCTTAGTTTCCATTGACCAGTGTCTTAGTCGATTTGAGCTGCTATAACAAAATACCTTAAACTGGATAACTTATAAAGAACAGCAATTTGTTGCTCCACAGTTACAGAAGCTGGGACATTCAAGATCAAGGTACCAGCAGATTCTGTGTCTGGTGAGGATTTATTTCTTCTCACATGGATACATAGGGCAAACAGCTCCCTTTGACCTCTGTTATAAGGGCACTAATCCCATTCATGGCCCAAAGGCCCCATCCCCTAACACCATCACCTTGGTGATTAGGTTTCAACATAGGAGTTTTGGGAGGACACAAACATTCACACTATAGCAACTATCTTGGGAATCAACTGAGCAAATTAACTGAGCTGAGGGAATCCCTATACCTCATTCTGTACCTCACCTTGTTTCGACGAGAACATGTTTGCAAATTATCTTTCCCATTCTTGATCTTCTTGTACAAAATACTTGCTCTACTGATTCCAGTGGTAATGGGATTCTTTTTAATGATGTTGAGCACATTTCGTATACCTGTTGGCCATTTGTATCTTTTCTTTCTTTTTTTTTTTTGAGTTGGAGTCTCACTCTGTCGCCCAGACTGGAGTGCAGTGGCTGCTCCCGGCCACCGCAGCCTCGACCTGCTGGGCTCCGGCGATCCTTCTGCCTCAGCCTTCCAAGTAGCTGGAACTATAGGCGTGCGCTACTATGCCCAGCTAATTTTGTGATTTATTGTAGAGATGAGGTCTCGCCAAGTTGCCCAGGCGGGTCTCATACCTGCAGGCTCATGCAATCCACTCACCTCAGCCTCCCAAGGTGCAGGATTACAGGCTGAGCCACCGAGC